GAGGTTTTTAACTGCAAATTCAAATTCTTGAATAGTAGTTATACGATTATGCAGGTTATAAATTTCCTGTTGGCTGAGTTTTGGTAGCTTGTGGATTTTGTAGATGAAACTTGGTCCATTTCATCTACGTTGCTGAATCCTTGTGTTTAGAGTTGTTCATTATTATCTTCTTAATGTCTTGTATATCTGTAGTATTATCATCTCTTTAATTCCTGATATCTGTAATTTGCATCGTTGTTTTTCTTTGTCAGTCTTGTAGATGTTCATCAATTTTATTGATCTTTTCAAAGATCCATTTGTACTTTTATTGATTTTCTCTGTTGTTTTCCAATTTTAAATTTCATTGATTTCTGCTATTATCTTTATTATTTCCTTCCTTCTACATGCCTTGTTTTTATTTTGCTGTTTTTCTGGTGTCTTAAAATGGAAGCTTAGATTTTTGATGTGAGATCTTTCTTTTTGTAATACAAGCATTTAATGCTATACATTTTCCTTATGAGCCCTACTTTGGCTGCATCTACTAAGATTTTTAAAACTTAAGCTTTATTTTGGGGGGATATTTTTAGATTTACACAAAAATCATTAAGATAGTACAGAAAGTTTCCATATCTCTCATGCCCAGTTTCCCCAATTATTAACATCTTATACATTAGTATGGTACATTTATCACAGCTAATAAACCAATCTAGATACATGATTGTTAATCAAAATCCACATTTTACTCTGATTTCCTTAGTTTTTACTTTATATCCTTTTTCTGTCCCAGGATCACATACAGGACACCACATTATATTTAGCAGTCATGTCTCCTAGGCTCCTTTTGGCTTCAACAGTTTCTCAGAATTTCCTTGTTTTTGATGACACTGACAGTTTTGAGGAGTACCGGTCAGTTATTTTGAAGAATTTTGTTTTTGAACGTATCTTTACTTACTGGTGTTGGGCAAGAAGAAATTTTCCTCTGTCCTTCTAGGTTCTTCTGGCTGGTCTAAGAATTAAATTAACATGAAACAAATTAATAGGAGAAAATCAAACAAAAGTTTAATAACATGTATACATGGGAGACATTCACAGAAAGACAGACAAGATGAAAAGGCAGAGGGCTATGTACCAGATGAAGGAACAAGATAAAACCCCAGAAAAACAACTAAATGAAGTGATGATAGGCAACCTTCCAGAAAAGGAATTCAGAATAATGATAGTGAAGATGATCCAGGACCTCGGAAAAAGAATGGAGGCAAAGATCGAGAGGATGCAAGAACTGTTTAACAGGGCTTCCCTGGTGGCACAGTGGTTGAGAGTCTGCCAGCCGATGCAGGGGACACAGGATTGTGTGCCGGTCCGGGAAGATCCCACATGCTGTGGAGCGGCTGGGCCTGTAAGCCATGGCCGCTGAGCCTGCGCGTCCGGAGCCTGTGCTCTGCAACGGGAGAGGCCACAACAGTGAGAGGCCCGCGTACCGCAAAAAAAAAAAAAAAAAAAAGGAAATGTTTAACAAAGACCTAGAAGAACTAAAGAAAAAACGCCTAGAAGAATTAAAGAACAAACAAACAGAGATGAACAATACAATAACTGAAATGAAAACTACACTAGGAGGAATCAATAGCAGAATAACTGAGGCAGAAGAACGGATAAGTGACCTGGAAGACAGAATGGTGGAATTCACTGCTGCAGAACAGACTAAAGAAAAAAGAATGTAAAGAAATGAAGACAGCTTAAGAGATCTCTGGGACAACATTAAACACAACAACATTCGCATTATAGGGATCCCAGAAGAAGAGAGAGACAAAGGACCAGAGAAAATATTTGAAGAGATTATAGTCGAAACCTTCCCTAACATGGAAAAGGAAATAGCCACCCAAGTCCAGGAAGCGCAGCGAGTCCCATACAGGATAAACCCAAGGAGAAACACGCCAAGACACATAGTAATCAAATTGGCAAAAATTAAAGACAAAGAAAAATTATTGAAATCAGCAAGGGAAAAATGACAAATAACATACAGGGAACTCCCATAAGGTTAACAGCTGATTTCTCAGCAGAAACTCTACAAGCCAGAAGAGAGCGGCAGGATATACTTAAAGTGATGAAAGGGAAGAAGCTACAACCAAGAATACTCTACCCAGCAAGGATCTCATTCAGATTCGATGGAGAAATCAAAAGCTTTACAGAGAAGCAAAACCTAACAGAATTCAGGACCACCAAACCAGCTGTACAACAAATGCTAAAGGAACTTCTTTAAGTGGGCAACACAAGAGAAGAAAAGGACCTACAAAAACAAACCCAAAACAATAAGAAAATGGTCATAGGAACATACATATAAATAATTACCTTAAACGTGACTAGATTAAATGCTACAACCAAAAGACATAGGCTTGCTGAATGGATACAGAAACAAGACCCATATATATGCTGCTTACAAGAGAGCCACTTCAGACCTAGGGACACATACAGACTGAAAGTGAGGGGATGGAAAAAGATATTCCATGCAAATGGAAATCTAAAGAAAGCTGGAATAGCAATACTGCTATCAGATAAAATAGACTTAAAAATAAAGAATGTTACAAGAGACAAGGACACTACCTAATGATGAAGGGATCAATCCAAGAAGAAGATATAACAATTATAAATATATATGCACCCAACATAGGAGCACCTCAATACATAGGGCAACTGCTAACAGCTATAAAAGAGGAAATCGATGGTAACACAATAATAGTGGGTGACTTTAACACCCCACTTACACCAATGGACAGATCATCCAAAGTGAAAAGAAATAAGGAAACACAAGCTTTAAATGACACAATAGACCAGATAGATTTAGTTGATATATATAGGAAATTCCATCCAAAAACAGATTACACTTTCTTCTCAAGTGCTCATGGAACAGTCCCCAGGACAGACCACATCTTGGGTCACAAATCAAGCCTCAGTAAATTTAAGAAAATTGAAATCATATCAAGCATCTTTTCTGACCACAGCGCTATGAGATTAGAAATGAATTACTGGGAAAAACATGTAAAAAACACAAACACATGGAGGCTAAACAATACGGTACTAAATAACCAAGAAATCACTGAGAAAATCAAAGAGGAAATCAAAAAATACCTAGAGACAAATGACAACAAAAACACGATGATTCAAAACCTATGGGATGCAGCAAAAACAGTTCTAAGAGGGACGTTTATAGCTATAGAAGCCTACCTCAAGAAACAGGAAAAATCTCAAATAAACAATCTAACCTTACACCTAAAGGAACTAGAGATAGAAGAACAAACAAAACCCAAAGGTAACAGAAGGAAAGAAATCATAAAGATCAGAGCAGAAATAAATGAAATAGAAACAAAGAAAACAATAGCAAAGATCAATAAAACTAAAAGCTGGTTCTTTGAGAAGACAAACAAAATTGATAAACCAGTAGCCAGACTCATCTGGAAAAAGAAGGAGAGGACTCAAATCAATAAAATTAGAAATGGAAAAGGAGAAGTTACAACAGACACCGCAGAAATACAAAGCATCCTAAGAGACTACTACAAGCAACTCTATGCCAATAAAATGGACAACCTGGAAGAAATGGACAAACTCTTAGAAAGATATAACCTTCCAAGGCTGAACCAGGAAGAAATAGAAGATATGAGCAGAACAATCATAAGTAATGGAATTGAAACTGTGATTAAAAATCTTCCAACAGGACTTCCCTGGTGGTGCAGTGGTTGGGGGTCTGCCTGCCAATGCAGGGGCCACGGGTTCATGCCCCGGTCCAGGACGATCCCACATGCCGCAGACCGGCTGGGCCCAGGAGCCATGGCCACTGAGCCTGCGTGTCGGGAGCCTGTGCTCTGCAACGGGAGAAGCCACAACAGTGAGAGTCCCGTGGACCGCAAAAAAAAAAAAAAATCTTCCACCAAACAAAAGTCCAGGACCAGATGGCTTCACAGGTAAATTCTGTCAAACATTTAGAGAAGAGCTAACACCCATCCTTCTCAAACTCTTCCAGAACATTTCAGAGGAAGGAACTCTCCCAAACTCATTCTATGAGGTCACCATTACCCTGATACCAAAACCAGACCAATATACTAGAAAAAAAGGAAATTACAGACCAATATCACTGATGAATATAGATGCAAAAATCCTCAACAATATACTAGCAAACAGAATCCAACAACACATTAAAAGGATCATACACCATGATCAAGTGGGAGTTATACCAGGGATGCAAGGATTCTTCAATATACGCAAATCAATCAATGTGATACACCATATTAACAAACTGAAGAATAAAAACCATATGGTCGGGCTTCCCTGGTGGTGCAGTGGTTCAGAGTCCTTCTGCCAATGCAGGGGACACGGGTTCGTGCCCTGGTCCAGGAAGGTCCCGTGGAGTGCCTAGGCCCGTGATCCATGGCCGCTGAGCATGCGCGTCCGGAGCCTGTGCTCTGCAACAGGAGAGGCCACAACAGTGAGAGGTCCGCCTATCACACACACACACAAAAAACCCATATGGTCGTCTCAATAGATGCAGAAATAACTTGACAAAATTCAACACCCATTTATGATAAAAACTCTCCAGAAAGTGGGCATAGAGGGAACCTACCTCAACATAATAAAGGCCATATATGACAAACCCACAGCAAACATCATTCTCAATGGTGAAAAACTGAAACCATTTCCTCCAAGATCAGGAATAAGACAAAGATGTCCACTCTCACCACTATTATTCAACATAGTTTTGGAAGTCCTAGCCACAGCAATCAGAGAAGAAAAAGAAATAAAAGGAATATAAATTGGAAAAGAAGTAAAGCTGTCACTGTTTGCAGATGACATGATACTATACATAGAGAATCCTAAAGATGCCACCAGAAACTACTAGAGCTAATCATTGAATTTGGTAAAGTTGCAGGATAAAATATTAATGCACAGAAATCTCTTGCATTTCTATACCCTAATGATGAAAAATCTGAAAGAGAAATTAAGGAAACACTCCCATTTACCACTGCAACAAAAAGAATAAAATACCTAGTAATAAACCTACCTAGGGAGACAAAAGATTTGTATGCAGAAAACTATAAGGCACTGATGAAAGAAATTAAAGATGATACCAACAGATGGAGATGTATACCATGTTCTTGGATTGGAAGAATCAATACTGTGAAAATGACTATACTATCCAAAGCAATCTACAGATTCAATGCAATCCCTGTCAAGTTGCCAGTGGAATTTTTTACAGAACTAGAAAAAAATCTTAAAATTTGTATGGAGACACAAAAGACCCTGAATAGCCAAAGCAGTCTTGAGGGAAAAAAATGGAGCGGGAGGAATTAGACTCCCTGACTTCAGACTATACTACAAAGCTACAGTAATCAAGACAATATGGTACTGGCACAAAAACAGAAACATAGATCAATGTAACAAGATAGAAAGCCCAGAGATAAACCCAGGCACCTATGGTCAACTAACCTATGACAAAGGAGGCAAGGATATACAATGGAGAAAAGACAGTCTCTTCAATAAGTGGTGCTGGGAACACTGGACAGCTACGTGTAAAAGAATGAAATTAGAACACTCCCTAACACCATACACAAAAATAAACTCAAAATGGATTTGAGACCTAAATGTAAGACCTGATACTATAAAACTCTTAGAGGGAAACATTGGAAGAACACTCTTTGATATAAATCACAGCAAGATCTTTTTTGATCCACCTCCTAGAGTAATGGAAATAAAAACAAAAATAAACAAAGGGGACCTAATGAAACTTAAAAGCTTTTGCACAGCAAAGGAAACCATAAAGAAGACGAAAAGACAACCCTCAGAATGGGAGAAAATATGTGCAAACAAATCAACAGACAAAGGATTAATATACAAAATATATAAAGAGCTCATGCAGCTCAATATTAAAAAAACAAACAACCCAATCCAAAAATGGACAGAAGACCTAAATAGACATTTCTCCAACGAAGACATACAGAAGGCCAAGAAGCACATGAAAATCTGCTCAACATAACTAATTATTAGAGAAATACAAATCAAAACTACAATGAGGTATCACCTCACACTAGTTAGAAGAGGCACCATCGGAAAATCTACAAACACCAAATGCTGGAGAGGGTTTGGAGAATAGGGAACCCTCTTGCACTGTTGGTGGGAATGTAAATGGATACAGCCACTATGGAGAACAGTATGGAGGTTCCTTAAAGAACTAAAAATAGAATTACCATATGATCTAGAAAACCTACTACTAGGCAGACACCCAGAGAAAAACATAATTCAAAAAGACACATGCACCTCAATGTTCATTGCAGCACTATTTACAATAGCCAAGTCATGGAAGCAACCTAAATGCCCAACAACAGACGAATGGATAAAGAAGTTGTGGTACATATATACAATGGGATATTACTCAGCCATAAAAAGGAATGAAATTGGGTCATTTGTTCAGATGTGGATGGATCTAGAGACTGTCATACAGAGTGAAGTAAGTCAGAAGGAGAAAAACAAATAGCTTATATTAACTCCTGTATGTGGAACCTAGAAAAATGGTACAGATGAACTGATTTGCAGGGCAGAAGTTGAGACACAGATGTAGAGAACAAATGTATGGACACCAAGTGGGGAAAGCCACGGTGGGGTAGGAATGGTGGTGTGCTGAATTGGGCGATTGGGATTGACATGTATACACTGATGTGTATAAAATTGATGACTAATAAAAACCTGCTGTATAAAAAATAAATTAAATTAAATTAAATTAAATATGTATACATGGGAGAGACCCAGGAAAACTGAGTAACTCACCAAAATGACTGAAGCCCTCACCTTAAATACCATCTTTAGCTAACAACAAAAGAAGATGTTGGGGGATTTCAAAGGGGAGGAAGGCAATTCACATGAAGATGGAAAAGCAAGTATTTGCTGGGCCATGCAGAGACAGTGGGACACAGAGTGGACTCTGATCTTTAGCTCTGCCTACAGTTTAGCCTACCACACCTAGCCCTGTTCTTTGTATATATCCCTGGTGGTAGCTCTATAATTGAAACAGGTCCTCTATCTAAATTATTTTAGGCAGTGAGAGGGAAGTCAAAGTTTCTTCCCAAGTCATTCGGGCCTTGATTATTTTTAGCTTGAAATAATCCACAAGCCGAAGAGATATTTTGGGGTGGCAAGTTTTGCTTCCTTACACTGTCAGAAATTGGAAGAGGCAAGGAATTGTTCTCCCTACACGGGCAGTGGAACATTCTCCAAGCTCATCTTGTATACTTTCTGCTCCTAGAAGCCACCATTTCCACAAGGAAACATAATTCATTTTATCGGAGATTAGGTTAGAAACCAAGATCTGGGTGCTTGGTGTGCTCATTGCTACTGGGGTGTCATTGCTTCTAGGCCCTTTTAGCTGACAGATAAGGAAATATATCTATGCATACTAACTGATATATATCCATGTCTATGAATATTTCTATATGTAACCATCTGTGTCTATATTAAGGTAAATATGCATTCATATTGGTATCTCCAACTCTAATCCATTACCATACGGATTATATAGCCTTCTTCCCTTGTTTATCTGTAAACTCCCAGTCCAACAGTGAGAGGCTCTCACCATCCCCTATCTATTTAATTGTCCAATTCCAGTATAAGGTATAGTGGTTTCAGATTTGTTCATTTATGCCCCAGTGGGAAATACCTTTATCAACTAGAATGCAGTGCTTATGAATAGTTTCTTTTGCCTTTAATATTATAGGTGCCACTCATTTCCAAAGTTATGTAGGTCAGCACTTGTTCCTGTACTCCTTTATGTGAGATTCCTTCATACATTTGTAATATGATTAGATTCTTTTGTCACATTCTGCATTCCATCCTGGGATCCCCTGGCCTCCTAAATGATTTTTTTTAATTTCATACATTAAAGTTGACTCTTGTTTGGTTTTTTTTTTTATTTTGTTACACGGGCCTCTCACTGTTGTGGGCTCTCCCGTTGCAGAGCACAGGCTCCGGACGCGCAGGCTCAGCAGCCATGGCTCACGGGCCCAGCCGCTCCGCGGCATGTGGGATCTTCCCAGACCGGGGCACGAACCCATGTCCCCTGCATCGGCAGGCGGACTCCCAACCACTGCGCCACCAGGGAAGCTGCTAAAGTTGACTCTTTTTGCTGTAAAGTTCTGTACTTTTTGACAAATGCATTCCATCCTGGGATCTTTATGACTTCGTAAATGATTTAAAATTTTTTCACACATTGAGGTTTATTCTTTGCTCTCTAGGATCCCCTGTGTTTTGATATGTTGTATTGTAGGGTTTTTTTTCAGTTCCAAATATTTTATTATTTCCCTTGAAACTTCCTCTTTGTTCCATGGTTTATTTGGTAAATTGTGTTGTTTAATTTCCAAGTGTTTCGAGATTTTTCTTATTATCTCTGTTACTAATTTGTACTTCAATTTCATTATGATCAGAGGATATATTTTCAATGGTTTTGATTACTTTCAGTTTGTTCAGGTTTGTTTTATGACCCAGGATATGGTTTATTTAGGTGAATGTTTCATGTGCACTTGAAAATAAAGTATACCCTATTGTTGTTTAGTAGAGTTTTCTATAAATGTCAGTTAGATCTAGATGTTTGAATGGTATTATTCAATTATTTTATATCCTTGCTCATTTGCTGTGCACTGCTTCTATTGTTGAGTGAGAGAACAGTGTAGAAGACTCCAGCTGTAATTATGGATTTGTCTTTTTCTCTTTTCAATTCTGTCAGTTTTTGCCTCATGTATTTTGAGGGTATTTTGTTAGTTACAGACACAGCATTGTTATGTCTTCTTGGTGAATTGACTTTTATCATTCTGTAATATCCCTCTTTATTCTTGGTTATTTTTGCTTGCTTTGATGTCGCCTTTGATATTAAATACGCATTCCGTCTTTCTTCTGGTTATTGTTTGCATGGTGTATCTTTTTCATCTTTTAGTTTTAACCTGCCTGTATTATTATATTTGAAGTGAGTTTCTTGCAGACAGCTTATGGTCACATTAAAAAAAATCCATTCTGGCAATCTCTTTCAAATATTTTAAAACCATTTATAGTGAATGTAATGATCAATATGTTTGGATTTTGGTCTGCCATATTTTAAATCTGTTTTCTGTTTGTTTTTTATTCCTTCTCCTTTCCTACTTTCATTTGGTTTATTTGAATGTACTTTTAGTATTCCATTTTAATTTATCTATTATGTTTTTTTCTTTATTTCTTTGTACATTTTTAAGTGGTTGTTCTAGGGATTATAACTTTTCAGTCTACTTAAAATCAATCTTTTACTACTTCAAGGGGAATGTAGAAACCTTACATCCATCAAGAGGAATGTAGAAACCTTACATCCATATAGATTTCTTCCTTCTATAAATTGTCTTAAGTATTCTATCTACATATATGAAAAACTATATCACATGGTGTTATAATTTTCATTTTGCTTGAGTTTCAGAACTGAAAAGAATACATTTACCCTGATATCTACCACTTCTGTTGGTCTTCCTTCATTTCTGCTCTTTCATGTTTCCTACTCTTATAATTTCCCTCTGTTTGAAGATCTTCCTTTAGTGTCTCTTTTAGAACAGATCTGCTGGTGACAAATTCTCTTAACTTCTTTTTCATCTGAGAATGTCTTTTTTCACACCTTCATTCCTGAAGGATAATTTTGCTGTATACAGAATTTTGGTTGACAACGTATTTTAGCATTTTGAAAATATTATGCCACTTCTTTCTAGCTTCCATGGTTTGTGATGAGAAATCCTTAGAAATTTGAATCATTGTTTTCCTGTATAAAATGCATTGCTTTTCCTCTGGCTGCTTTCAGAATTTTTCTTCTCTTTAATTTTCAGCAATTTTTCTGTTTCAGTTTCAGCAATTACATATGTAGGCATGCGTTTCTTTGTGTTTATTTCTGTTTTGAGTTCACTGAGCTTCTTGAATATGTGGCTTTATGTCCTTTTCCAAATTTAGCAAGTTTTCAGCTAGTAGTTCTTCAGATTTTTTTTTCTTATCATGCT